CAGTGAGATAGCTCAGCAGACTAAGTGGCTGCTTAGGCAAGCGCCACAATGCCACAATGCCACATGCCATGCCGGCCCTGCCGCAGGACACACTGAGCCACTGAGAACAGGCGTGGGGTGCACACCTGTAATCCCAGCCCTGGGGAGGCTGAAAACAGGAGGATGAGTATGAGTCAGAGCTGCATAGTGAGACCCTCTACCACATACATTAAAAAAATAATATAATGATGATGATAAACCTTCTACAATTTTTAATGACTACACCGCATATGAAATGGGTAGCAGAAAGTGAAGAGGAAGGCCGGGGAGATGGCTCAGTGGAATAAGCGCTTCCCTGGCAAGCACAAGGGCCTGAGTTCAATCCCCCGTTCCAGAAAAAGAAAGAAAGAAAGAAAGAAAGAAAGAAAGAAAGAAAGAAAGAAAGAAAGAAAGAAAGAGAAGAGAAGAGGAATAGTGAGTGTTTTTGTTTTGTTCTTAAGACAGGATTTCACTGTATACCTCAGACTGCCCTGAACTCACTATGCAGCCCATGGTGACCTCAAACATGCAGCAAGCCTCCTACTTCAGCCTCCTGAGTGCTGAGATTACAGGTATGGGCCAACACACCAGGCAGGGATAGTAAATATTAAAAGACAATTAAGTATACAATGTGACTTTCACAGCCATAATTATAAATAACCATTGTTGCTCCCATATTCTTGGGAGGGGGAGCTTCCTCAAGTCAGGTCCAGGGAGGGAGGGCACTTGAATAAAAATAAATTTATTGTTACTTCTAGATTACTATTCTCCTTTTAAAAGCAGGAATTTTTAAGCCAGGCATGATAGTGTACTCCTGTAATCCCAGCACTCTGGAGGCTGAGGTAGGATGATCCTTTTGAGTTCGAGACCAGCCCAGATTACAAAGTGAGCTCAAGGCCAGCCTGAATTGTATAGTGAGACCCTGTCTCAAAAAAGACCAAAACAAAAAACAAAAACCAGAAATTTGAGGGAGGTAGTGGTGCACACCTATAATCCCAGCACTGTAGAGCAAGGAGGATTGCTTTAAATTTGAAGCCAGCCTGGGCATTATGAAATAAATCTTATGAATATACATGGCAGATTCCAGCAATGGTAAAATCATTTCTCTTAAAAATAATATGAATATCAACAGACTAGATTTATTGGGGAATTTAGTAAATTACATAAATTAATGAAATCACAGAATTGAAAAAAATTAGGGGATTTGGGACAACTGATGACTAATCCAACCCTATAAATATATATAATTACTTTTAAGGCTTAAAAAGTTATACAGGGGCCGGGAGTTTGATCCCCGGCCTCCATGCTGGCCCCACCCCCGGGGCATGCTGAAGACACCAATTGAGACTGGGTGTGGTGTCTTGTGCCTGTAATCCCAGCTCTTGGGAGGCTGTGAACAGGTGGATCACTACAGTACGATCTAGTAGTAAGACCCTGAACACCCTGTAGACCCTTCCCTAAAATTAAAAAAAAAAAAGTTATACAAACTTGGATCTGTTACCAAAAGAATTTTCTTGTCTTGTCCTTTCTTTCTTTCTTTCTTTCTTTCTTTCTTTCTTTCTTTCTTTCTTTCTCATTCATTAGTTTCTCTTTATTTTAATCTTTAAATCTTACTTGCATCTCAATCTAAGCACTTGTCCTTGTTTCACTTTCACTGCCCCAAAAATACAATATCAGCATATCTAATCTAGGGGCCAAGTAGATAGCTCAGTGGAATAAGTGCTTGCTGGACAAGAGCAAAGTCCTGAGTTTGATTCCCTGGTACCACCACCAAAAAAAAAAAAAAGATATCTAATCTATTCCTAGAATCAGGTCCTAAAAAGGCTCACACTTATCCAAAATGGGGCTTGGGATGTAGGTCAGTGGTAGAGCACTTGCCTAGTATTCATGAGGTCCTGGGTTAATCCCTGGCATCCACCCATGTCTAAATATACTGGATTTTATAAATACTTAATAGGCAGGAAAAAACTAATCAAAGGTCTATTCTGATTTACCCTGTGAAAATTACAAACTCAAATCTGTAAATTATCAGTATTTGGGTGAGGTATTTGACGGAATAAGGAGATTATTATCACTAATTTTCTAGGTTTATTAAATTACACTAAACAGAAAAGATGTGCAGGTACCATACATAAGAGACACTCATTAAGCTCCACAGTAATCTGAATAAAGTTTTCTAAAGTCTCATGACAATGACAGGTACCTGGAGAGATGAGTTGCTTGGCAACTGGGATTCTTGTTTACCAATAGGTAATTTAGTACACCTTTTAAGTTAAGCACTGAAAACTCCACTATGCTGTTTGTTCTTACTGGTAATAGCACATTCAGAAGACAGTAAGCGTAGGTGGCTACTTAAGGCTGTAACAAATTGATAGAAAATAGAATCCAGAGTTATACTTAAGCGAGTCACTCTTCCTTCCCAAACTCTCACCCCCTACAGCAAAGCAGTCATTCTATTCGCCTCTGCCCTGCACTGAGAAGATATTTCTACCACCCTCCTGCCCTCAAAAGCCTAACTTTAAGAAAGCTCAAAGCACAGTGCAGCAAGAGGCTCTGCTATAAAGGGAAGTTCTATGAAAAGCACAACCCATCTGCAGAGGGCAAGCACCAGAGAAGGCACTGTTATAGGGCTAAGCCATGGGGGTCAGGGGTCCACCAACACCACTTGCTCAGTCTAAATTGCTTAGACAGAAACATTAGTCAGAAAAAAAAAAAGAATTACCAAAGAAAATTGCTTCCAAACCAAGGGAGCTACTGGAACACACTACAAATACATGTAAGCCAGGCCTGAGCACTGGAATTTTTCCTTCACTGTAGAAAAACATTTCATGCAGGGAATATTATTACAGAAAACAAGAACAAAATCTAAACTTTGCTAAAATTGTAAAGTGCTGCAATTTTAAAGTTAATAAAAAAAAACACAGCTTAGAAATCTGTTTAATGAAATCACATTCATTGTGGGGGTGTGGGGTAATTTGAAAGAGGGTCCTATTACGTAGCCCAAAGGAGTACTAAAGTCCAGATCTTCCTGACTCAGTCTCCAAGTACTAGATTACAGGTATGGAGTACCACATGTAGCAAGTATCTCACTTTTTAAAAAAATGTTTCTTCCTGCTTAACCAGAGCTGATATTTTTCCCCTTGGTATGTATTCGTATTCACTTGTTGCTATGAACACGCACAACCTCACCCAAACTACTGGACTGTCTAAAACTATTTCTAGGTAAGAGTTTAAGGTTTTTTTTTTTTACTTTTAAAGTTACTACTATAACTTTAAAATATACCCAGTCTCTCTGCACACTTCTCCAGACAGAACAATGCCCAATGTCCCAGAGGAAAAGGAGAAGTCTTTGAATGGTGTAGTTAAGACAGGCTCATTAGAAGGAATTATTTTCAAGGAAATGCTTGTTCCCTTCACACATTAACTTAATAAATGAAATAAAGTATAGTTTAACAAATTAAAAAATAGCATCTGGTTGGATTGTTTTGCTGAATTCAAATACCTATAGTATTTAGATGCCAATAGAATACCCACCTCTGACAGGACCAAACAAAAAAAAGGAGATACAAAGGAAGGACCATTTTGTATTTATATATACAAAATAGGATAGATATACAGCTACTTTCACTTAATTCAATGAGAAGAAAGAGGTGTACTAATAGTGTTTGGACAGGATATCCTGTCTGCTTCTTGTACTATGAATAACCACTAAGAAGACAACAATGTACAATGTATTGATTATCGAAACTGTCCTATTAATCAGCTTTGAAACTGTCTCATTCATATTTGTTTCTTAATAAAATTTTTAAAAAATAGCATCTGTACTACCTAAACAATTCTCACATGGACATACAATTTGAAACTGAAATTCTACTTTTATGTTGCAAATGTGAAAAGCTGTTCTGTTTTCTGAACACAACTCCAAAAACTGTTCTTTAAGGATAATTAGTTCAAAAAAAAATCACTCACACTGGTTTAATGCTGCTGGTACCCAACAATAAATAAAAGATGCAGTAATGGTTTAGGTCAAGCTAAATCCAATGCATCTCAAGCCACAAGTACAGAAATCGTCACTGTTTACTCACCCCCAATGCTCTGCACAGCTGCACTCACGGTAACCTCCCCAAGCAGGCACCAGCTTCCCTCACTGAACATCTTATCACACAACATGACGGTGCTGGACGAGTTAGAAACACACTGATGCAAGGACATCCCAGTTTATCATCAAATCTCTAATCAACCCCAAAAGATAGTTTTAATACCTGGAGGAGCCAGGCATGGCAGTGTATGCATGTAATCCTAGCCTTTGGGAGACTGAGGCAGAAGGATTACTATAAGTGCAAGACTGGCCTAGGTTACATAGTGAGTTCGAAGCAAGCCTGAATTACGTAGTCAGATCCTGTCTCAAAAACCAAAACTCAAGAACAAATAAAAATACCTAAAGGAAGGCCTAGACCCCAAAGTAATCATTTTATTTTATTTTATTTTTTTAATGTATGTGGTTGTTGAAGGGTCTCACTACGCAGCTCAGGCTTATGGTGATACTCCTGCTTTCAGCCTCCCCAGTGCTGGGATGACAGGCACACGCCACTATACCTGGACTCTGTCAGCTCAGCTCGCCTAGGGGCAGGGCAGGTGCACTGTGGTTCCAGGGATCCAGCTGCGATCCTGGCACTTGCCTAAACAGGCGCTTTAGTCCCTGAACTCTCTCTCCAGCACCTAAACTAAACATTTTAATGACTTATCATAATAGTTTTCATTTTGTTTTGTTTTGGGGGCAGTTGACTTTTTGAGACAGGGTCTCACTATGCAGTTCAGGCTAGCCTTGAGCTTACTTGGTTGGTCTCGAACTCCCAACATCCTCCTGCCTCAGTCTCCCAAGTTCTGGGATTACAGGCATGCATCACCACACCTGGCTCCCTAATGGTTTTTAACTGTTTGGGTGTTTCGTACTAAGAATAATTCAATATTTTAGTTTTTACCTTCGTTAGCCTCTGGCCTTGAGTTCTTGATATAAGCAGAGAATTTGGCAAAGATGTCCATTCCGGCAGTATTTGACTCTGGGTGTTTTGGTGAAAGCTTTAAGTACCTAAATAGAAGGAGAAAAGAGAGAGAGAGAGAGAGAGAGACAGACAGACAGACAGACAGACAGACAGACAGACAGACAGACAATGTTTAAAGATCCTTCAAAGACGCATTAGCATATTTTTGTCAACCACTAAACCCTTATGGTAGCAGTTACGAGGCTATAATAGGTAGTTACTTTTATTAAAAAGGTACTAGACTTTAATTTTTAAAAAATGTTGTCATCTGCTCTGTGATATTTTTTAAATGCACTATTTTCCTTGGGAAAAAAAGCTAGAGTTTTGTTCACACATCAATATTCTGGACAACTGAAGGGCATCTGCACTCCACCTCCATTTGATAAATTAGAATGCTAGGAAAGCAATCCACTTGTTCAGAGTCTGCTGCCAGGCCACCAGGAGTCTTAGAATGAGATGGCTCATGCAGTACTGTCCAAGAGGACTTTCTGTGATGATAAAAATGTTTCATATCTTCATCTTCCATTTTGGCAGCCATAAGTGCCAGGGAGCTATGTCAATACAAATATACGTAAAATCACAGTAAAACAAAATTGAAAATCCACTTCCCAGTTGCACTAGTCACTTGTCCAGTACTTGGCAGTCACTGCACAGCAGCCAGACCCTTAGTATGCCATGCACTGAACCAGCCTTGTGTGAGCACCACAGACTGATGGCAGGGAAACAGCCTGCGCTGCCCAAGCACCTTGCTCGTCCACAGCAGGCTGCAGGCCACAGCAGCAGGAGGTAGAGCTCACTATAAATCTGCACCCACTGACTCATTTTAAATCTAATTTCCCCTGAATTGAACTTGAGAATATCTTTCAGAAATCGTAATTTTAAAACTAAAAGCAAATCCCACAGTTCAATGGACCACATGCCTGCTGACATTCTGCTGGGAAACCTGCCTTTCCCTATTCCTTCAGTTCCCTGAACTCTCAATTTGGGGCCAGCCACCCACAAATAACCAGCCTTTCTGACCTATCTCATGTGGTCAAAACCTGCTTTTATCATGTTCTTTGAAGCTTAGATTCCCACTTCTCTCAGTATGGCTGATTATCCTAGCAGGAAACCAATTATGGCAGCATTAACTGTAAAGAACCTAGAGTAAAACGCTGGTCATTTTAAAGTCTCTAATCTCAAGCTAAAGCTTAAAATGAGCGGCAGTGTTTCCAGAATATCTGATCTGATACTCACTTGGGAGGGCATAAGACTTCTTCAAGAAATTCCTCAATCTTATTGACATCCGTTTTCACTTCATTGTTGAAAGTTATAAATGGTGGGTGGGTCCCAGGGGCCAAGTTCTGCAGGTCTGCAGGCTTCCTGTCAGGCAAAAGAATGGTCAAAATGAGATCATTTTTTACTCTTACTCTAAGAAGGAAACAACACTTTGTCTCAGAGTAGTTTTGTTTTTTAAATTTTTTTTTTT